CACCTTTTCCACAGTGAATGTACTCCCAGATAATTACTGCAGAATCTTGGCTGGTAGTCTAGGGAATACCCCTTGAAGAAGGCTCCCATTACATTGTGTTGTTGTTAATCAGTTTTTTTAATTATGTCTGATTCTTCATGACCTCATTTTAGTTTTTGTTGGCAAGCATACTGGTGTGGTTTGCCATTTTCTTCTCCAGCTCATTTACATATGAAAAACTGAGACAAACAGGGTTAAGTGACTTGCTTAGGTTCACACAGCTAATATGTGTCTGAGGCCAGATTTGAACTCAGTAAGATGAGTCTTCCTGATTCCTAGCCCAGTCCATTATCTACGATGCCACGTAAGAACCCTACCAATGCCTTATATAACTTCTAATATGTAAGACTTATGGGAGGAAATGGACAAAAATACTATAGAATGAGAAAATGTGACTGTGTTGTCATCTGTATTGATAGAAGATTCTACAACCATTATAGAATATCGAAGAAATTGTTTAGGTGAGGAATTATAGAATCTGATTTAAAAAAGCTGAGAAGAGAGATAGCTTTTATTTGAATTACAGTGAAACTATCTACCTGTCCTGAGTTAACAGCTTCACTTTTATAGGCTAGAAACTTGTATGTTCTTAAAAAAACAAACAAACAAACAATTAGACAATGATGTTTACTCTGACTGTAGAATATGAGACTGATTTCTTACTCAAGACACATTTTATTTGGAAATACTGTGTACCCCTTTTTCTCAGGTATCTGTTGCAAAGGATATCCACAGGCAGAAACCAAATCTGATAACAGACTATGAATATATATGTGAATATGCATGTATGCATATGCATTTGTATGTGTTATGTATATATATATGTGTGTAGATAGATAGAAAGATAGAGATATAGATATGGGGGTGACAGTGTCTGTGTGTGTGTGTGTCTGTGTGTGTGTGTCTGTGTGTGTGTGCGCAGGAAATGAGGTCTGTCCTTAAGGAAGCAGGAAAAGCATGTTTGAGGTGGAAGGCACCGTAGGGAACAGAGATTCATTCTGGGCAATTACTCCACTTTATAAAGTTGTCTTTCTTTGGTCTTTTTCACCTTCATCTAGAGTTAACTCTGTGAAATCTTCAAATGTTTAGGTTTCCCCAAGTACGTAAATAGGCGGTAAGTAGTAGGGCCCCTGACTCCAATGTAAGCACTCAATGTATCCATAATATTTGATAGAGAATAGTTTTTTTTTTTCCCCAAAAATGTGGAAGATGCAATGAGTGCATGGAATTCACCTACCAAATGTAGAAAATTTAAAAAAAATGATATTTACAATAGCTCACAAACAACACAACTCTTCTCATTCCCTATTGTTGTTAAGTCATTTCAGTCGAGTTTGACTTTTTAAGACCCCATTTGAGGTTTTCTTGGCAAAGATAATGGAGTGGTTTGCCATTTCCTTCTCCAGTTCATTTTACAGATGAAGAATTGAGGCCAACAGGGTTAAATGACTTGTACGGTGTCACAGAGCTAGGAAGTGCCAGACTTGAACTCAGTAAGATGACTCTTCTAAAATTCATGTCTGGAACCCTATCCACTGCACCACCTAGCTGCATTCCCTCTTGTTTTGCTTCTCCTTTAATTCTGTAAATAAAAATAACTCCTGCATGGTACCAGAGAGGCTCTACATGATAGAGTCTGGAATATCTCTTCAGAAAGAGGACAAAGAACCTCCACTCATAGTGTACTTATGTCAGATTCATCCAAATTGCTTAGTGTCCTCTCTCAGATATTCCTCAGGGAAATGATTCACTGATGCTGAGTTTTCCCAGAGACTCACCTTCAATGGTACCTAACTAAAGATGAAAAATAACTTTTCTGAGGTGAAGAAAATCAAGGCAAGGACAAGAGGAGTTCAGATCTTGTCATGCATGCTAGTTGGAGCTCACAGCTCATGTATGAGGACCAGGAGGATGGACTCTCATTTCAATTCCCTCCTTATCAGAGACTTAACCTGTGTTTTAGAAAATCTTAGCAGATAAAACTGGTGATGATGACCATTTATACTCACATGAGGTTCTTGGCAGGTTTGTGTTACATAGTGAGAGGAGAACTCAACTGGGCATATGGAGAGCTAGGTTCTAGTTCTAGCCCAGCCATGAATAAACTGTGTGACCAAGTGAAAGCCACTCAGTTCTTTTGGTGGAGATGACCTGGAGCAAAAATCTTATGCAGGAACATGCCCAGACTTCCTTCAGTATTTCAGGGGAAGCTAATCTACTCCATTCTGAACTCCTAGGGACGTGCATCCTTGTGTACACTCCTACCATTTTCTTCCCTACATTTGTTGTACCAACCTAAAACACACACACACACACACACACACACATACACACACACACAAATAAACAAACACAGTCTCTTCCTTCATCCTAGTAATCAGATCACTAGCACTATTTTCTTTGGAAAGGCAATGGATAGCCTTATTATTCTACTCATTGTATATATGACTTCCCAGAACAAATCATTCTTCCCTGGCTACCATATCCCTGAAAGTATTGTCTCCAGGTAGAATTGCCCTCACAGAGTACTTTTAGGCTTATGAAGCACTATACATATGCCATCATATTTGACCCTAACAACAACCATATAAGGTGGGTGCTATTATTATTCTCATTTTACAGATGAGGAAACTGAGACTGGGAGAGAGTAAGTGAATTGGTCAGAATCACACAGCTAGTTAATAACTATGGTAGCATTCAAACTTGGGTCTTCTTGACTTCAATTCTAGAACTCTAACATCTACATGACTGGGCTGCTTATTGAATCATAAACTCTTTGAAAGTAGGAACTTCTTGTTTTTGTATTTGTTTTCCTACTGCTAAGCAGAGTGCTTGGTGTGTAAGAAATACTTAAACAGTGTCTCTTCATTCATTCATCTTCTATGAAGTAAACACATTAAGTACTGGGAAATCAAAAGCAAAAAGTCATAGATGCTGCCCTTCACTGAAATTATAAAGAGTAAACACTAAGAAATAAGTTTACCTCATTTGATTAATGCAGAAATTCATTACTATTTTTAAATATTCCTGAATATCCTTATGATTTCACATTGTGTTTCAAACTTGTTGAGTGACTGGTAGAGGACAATATTTTTTCATGCTTTGCAGTCTGCATTCATGATGGCATATATGGATTCAGAGATGGAGAAAAATGTACAAGTTCAGTATGTCCTGATAGTGCCCCAGGTATCTGGAAACAGTGGTATTATGTGAACACCAGGCCAGGCCCCAAAGGTCCAGGGAATTCTTGTGAGGGATAGAGTGAGAGAATGACAGAATCATAGAGTTGGAGAGCTCCCAGCCTTCATCAAATTTAATCAATGCCTGAAAAGCAATATTCTCTATGACAAATCCAATAAATGGATACCCTACTTGAAGAACTTATAGAATTGTTCTGCCAATTTTGAACTGCTCCATTTGTTAGGGAAATTTTTCCTCACATCAAGGCAAAATTTGCCTTTGAACATTCCAGCCATCATTCCCTGTTTTACTTTCCAGGGCCAAGTAGAATATGTGTAGTCCCTATTCCAAGAGATATATCTTCAAAATGTCACCCACCCACACTTATGTTTTTAATCTCCAAAATAATTGTAATAATTTCCTTAGCTATTTCTCTTCTGGAATAGTCTGTAGTAAACCTCCACTGTACATGCTCCAGCAATCAAGATTTTCCCGAAATATAATACCCAGGACATAATAACATACTCAGATATACTCTGAAAATGGCAGAAGATGGCAATATCATCACCTTCCTCATTTGAGGCAAAATATTTCCTTTTGACTGATATTATATTAATAGCCCATTAAGACCAACTGAACCTTCTTGAACAAATCATGCCTTATTTATAGTGCCAGTTGGAGTCCAAAATAATTCAGATCTCAAAGGGAGAATGTGTGGAGTCAAAGTAGTTACACCAAAGAACTACAAAAGAGCCTCATGCCTCACAAAGACTTCTGGGCTCAAATGGACCTTTTTTAATCCTGAAAAATGACTTGCAAAATTGTTTTTTACTTTTTCTTTGTAACTCATTATTATTTCAATAAAAATCTATGATAAAAAGAAACTGAGGCAAAATGTCTGAGCACAGTCAATTTATTAGCAAGGCTAGCAATTGCCAACAAAAAGGCTCATCAGTAGGCCAGGATGCACCAATAGTCAGAGCAGCTCCTTTATATAATTGGTTACATAATGTACCAGAAACAATCCAGTGCTGTGAATTAACTAAGTTTCTGATTGTTCACACAGAGAGGAAGGGTGGAATTTGCTTGACTTTTCTCAGAAAGCACATTTCCATAACCCAGGGCAACAGGGAAAACACAGAGTTGATTCATATCCCCTGAAAAGTCTTATGGTGGACAAACATCCTATGTCCGGGTTGACTCATCTCTGACAATGGTCAGCAAAAACTCAGAGATTTGATTCTTAATGGGTGACTAAAGCCATGGAAGTTAAACTTACAAATTTTACCAATGAGTCCTATGCAATTAAATCTATGTTTTATCCACAAATATTGATACCAATGATTAGATGCAATTGTCAATCAATAAATAATCAACAACACAAAATAAAATGCGAAATCAATTTTCAATTTCACCTTACCTTCTGAATAGAGCTGTTACTGGAAAATCAACTCACATGCTGATGGCAAAGCATATTTCTAAGTTTCTCCCAGTGTGATCAAGATGGACCTCCAGCACCTAGTAAAGAATTCAAGTTACCAAATATTGGACCACCTTTATTTCACCCCACAGGAAAATCAAAAGACAAGAAAAAACAACAGTGGACCCCCCCTTTCAGGCACAGAAACAGATAAAGCACAAAAAGAACCTAATAGTGAGAAAGGAGTTGATGTTGAGGTTTACATCAAAATACTCCACTGACATTATAGTGAAATTCTCTCTCTCAAGATCAATCAAAATTGTTTCCAGATACTTAGTTCCACCTTGCGATATGTATTCCTTCAATACAGGCAGTCATACTGCAGGGTTGTGCAGAGACCAGCTCAAACAGACCCACAGAGACATAATTGAATTTTGAATATGAACATTTAGATTGAAGAAATCAGTAAATGCTACAAATCTAGACTGAATTTATTGTTTTGTTGATGATCTAGACTTCACAAAATGATAGAGAAAATAATAATGTGGATTAAATTTTAAGTATGTAATGGATACATTTTTTCCCCAGAGAGTTGGTTCTGAAGCATTTCCCAGCACACCTCTAGTCAGGGGCTACTCACTAAGCAATGCCATTAACACCAAAGTTACAATTGTAAAGCAACTCAGTGACTTTACCCATGTTTTTCTGGTTTGATTCAATTCAATTTTATCAATGTGCATTTGGTACCTACTAAAAAGCGGCAGAGCAAGGACTCCAAACCTATATCTTCTCACTGTACTATACTGTTCAGAAATTATGGAGCTGTTCTTCATCTCTCTAAAAAGATAATGCCTAGAATAGCTATAGCAGCATCTGTTTGTGTGTGTCTGTGTGTCTTTGTTTCTGTGTCTACACACAAATCATTCATTTCATACGACATTCTTATAAGATAGGATGAACTATTAAGACCCTTCATATACAAAGAAATTGAGATTGAGACTCTATAGCAACTTACCTAAGGTTACAAAACATGAAAATGATCAAGGCAGAATTTAAATTCAGCTCTTTCTTAATTCTAATCTATGACACTTTCTATTACATTATGTTGCCTCTGGAAAAGTTTATTTTATACTTCTGTGTACATAAGAAGAATATCCTGACTGGAGGACTGAGTCCCAGAGTGAGTGAAGTGCAGATTGAATTTTCTCTCTAGGAAAAAGGATGAGAGGTTGTCTTCCTCTCACAGCCTTCATCAAAGCATTCTTGACCTCTTTGTTCCTCAGACCATGAACCAGAGGGTTCAACATGGGGATGACTATGGTATAGAACACTGACACAATTGTGTCTGAGTCTATCAAATGTCTTGAACTCGGTTGGAAGTACATGAGGATGATTGTCCCAAAAAATATAGACACTGCTGTGAGATGGGAAGCACAGGTGGAGGAGGATTTCTGGCAGCCTTCAGTAGAATGGATCTTCAGGATGGTGATGAAGATTAGCAAGTAAGAGGTAAAGATAACAAGAAAGGGGAAAAAAACAGCAAATAACCCTATGATAAAGACTAGCGACTCAGTGATGTGAATATCAGAGCAAAAGAGAATTAGGAGAGGGGTAATATCACAGAAAAAGTGATGGATTATATTAGACTTGCAGAAGGAAGGGCTAAAAGTGTTTCCTATGACTATGGAGGAGGTCAGAAAGTCACAGATGTAAGCAACACTGGCCAGATATGTATATATTGTTGAAGTCATGGTAGTGGTATAATGTAAAGGCTTACATGCAGCTGTGTGATGAGCATAGGCCATGGAGGCTAAGAGGAAACTTTCTGTAGTAACCAAGACTCCAAAGAAGAACAATTGTGTTGCACATCCACTATAGGAGATGACTTTGTCTCCTGTCAGGAACCCAGCCATCACCTTAAGGGTAACAGCTGAGGAGTAGCCAAAATTCACCAGAGAGAGGTTACTGAGGACAAAGTACAAGGTGGTGTGGAGGCAGGAATCCCAGAAGATCAGAGTTACTATCCCCAGGTTCCCTACCAGAGTGGTAAGGTAGATGAAGGTGAACATTATGAAGAGAGGAACCGGAAGCTCTGGAACATCTGTTAATCATTTGAGAATGAACTCATTCCCATCGGATCTGTTCTCCATGGATGTCATTTGAGAGTGTTGTCATTCACCTGCCACAAAAGAGGAACCATTAAAAAAATCCACTGTTCATGATGAATGAGTCCAACACTCAAAACATCATTAGAGACATATATTATATGAAGGGCAGAAATGAAGAATTAAAGGACAAAGAGCATCCAGGTATTTGTCATGCAATATCTCTATGTCCTGAAAATTTATTGATCCAGTTTCTCACATTGATAGAGAGTTCCCCATCTATTACTTCTCACCTTTTTTCCCTTTTACATACTTTTCCATATTACACAATTAATTTCCAAAGTGGTATTTCCAACTTTAGGAATGGTAAATGTCTTATTCCCTGGTAAAAATCAGGATAAGAAGGGGGATGAATAGGCCTTACTTTGACAAAGGAGAGAGAAAAGTGAAATAAAGGAGAAGAGGGAGGACCAAATAAGAGGAAAGTTAAAAGACTGAGAAAATGGAGAAGGAGATAAAAATAATTGGCTGATTTTTTGGGAATAATGCTTGGTTGGTAAATTATTGTGGCTGTAAGGTCTATACAATGGATCAAAGTCACCAATTCCTGAATAGGAACAGTGGATACCAGTTGCCTAGTAGTGGGAGTCTGTCAAAAAGGCCACTGGTGGGTCACATAACATATATGTATGACTTCTGAATCTGTTCCCCTTAAACCATCTGTCCCTTTCTCAGTTCTCTACCCCTGCCACTGTGGAAGCAGGTGGTGGCCACAAATGGGGGCATTTCATCTTTTTATTTGCTAAAGTTTTCTGGGTCCCAGAAGTCACCAATCTCTGATTTAGGCTTCTTCAAGTTTGAGCTAAAATCCTACCCACAGGATGTCTTTCCTGATCCACTTCAATTCCAGTTCCTTTCTCCTTTTGATTTCCTCCATTTATCCTTGATACAGTTTGTTTGTACATGGTTACCTGAATGTTGTCTAGTGATAGTAAGCAGCTTGAGGGCAGGGACACTATTTAACTTTCTTTTTATTCTCAGTGCTTAGCATGGTACTGGGCATATAGTGGAAGTTAATAATTATTTACTGGCTCCCTGATTGACCAGTGGTAACCCTCCCTGTCTGAGCTAAACCAAAGCGGCCTTTGGGTATCAGACAAATACATAGTCCGTCCCCACACTCCATCATAAGCCTTTACATCTTGGAAGCACCTTCCACAGTTATGTTTCACTAACTTAGTCTTAGAATACTTAGTTTCATCTCTACAACCATTAAACATTAGAAGAAAGTTTTCATTGAAGTCATAGGTGGGTTGTCACATGTTATGTATAATGAGTTGTATCTTGGAAGAAAAAACATAGAAAACAGAATCAGAGAATATTAAGTCAGTATATTTCCCTAGAGATCACCTACCTTAGCTCACATCTGACCAGGAGTCACCTCCACCAGAGCCTGCCAAAAGTCAAGTAAGATTGGAAATGGAGAAGAGTTGGTTAAGTAGGAAGAATGAAAGATGAGATATATAGCTCTAGTAGCCTATTGGGTCCCTAAAGAATTATGCCTAACAAGCAAGATGAATAAAATCTCTAACAAAAGAAAAAAAATCTTACTGCTAAGATAAAATTTAGACTAGAAAGATGGCACCCATAACTGGAATGTGGTTCTGGAAAACTTTCTCCCTTATTTGAATTAAATGTGATAGGTAGCAGAAGGCTGTTATATTTTGTTAGAACTGAGAATATATATTTGTATGAGCTTATCTAGGAACCAGAGTGGGAAACATGGCAGAAAGCATTTATATTGTTATCAGCATAAAAATATACTGTTATAGCCATTATTTGTATTGGAAGAGGAAATAGATCAGGACTTTGGTAAACATGAGTGATAAAGAGCTTTAATTATTTAGGTGTTAGCCAGAATGTTCTTTCTCATTTTATCTCTCTCATTGTGTCTCTATCTCTCTGACTCTGTCTGCCTTTTCATCTGTCTCTATCTTTTTGCATCTATCTATATCTCTATCTCTATTTGTCTTTCTCTACCTGTCTGTCTCTGTTTTTGCCTTTTTGGTTTTCTCTGTGCCTCTTTCTATGTGTCTATCTGTTATCATCTATCTATCTACTTAGCTGGTCTACCTAGCTGTCTCTCTTCTCAAATTACAGCTACTGATTTCTTGATGACAATGATATTTTTTCCAAGTTCAAAAGTGAAAGGACTAACATGAGGAAATTCTATTCTGTGTTTCATTCTCAAAAATGATGAGGAATTGTGAAGTAGGATCAAAATAATGGTGAATGCCACAGGAATAGACGAAAAGTACCTGAATCATTTTAAAGTTTGAGATAGATATTGAAAGGAAAACTTGCAAGTGTCTGACATGCACATTAGGTTTGGGGTGAGTCAATTCCAGGCATTTCAGAGTTAGGACAAAATAGAATCTTATGAATTAATTCTATGGGAAGTTCACATCTGAAGAAACAGGAAGGTCTCATGAACAAAATTTTGAAGATGCAAGAAGAAAAATTGTCAATTAGGACAACTTGGAAGTGAAAAAAAATCTGTAGTAAAGGAAAACAGACAGGTAATAAAGGCTGAATGCAGAAGCAGAACCTATCTTATAGCAATAGAGTCAGATGGGTGCCAGTGCTCAGGGATGAGTGGAGGGAATCCAAGAAAGCTAAAAAGTATAAAAAGGTTGGATTTTTTTGGGGGAAATTGGCCATTTAGATAAACAAGAGATATAGAATTAGATTGCTTTTTTAATTAATAAATTTATTTATTTTTAGTTTTCAACATTTACTTCCACAAGATTTTGAGTTCCACATTTTCACCCCATCTCACCCCTACCCCCACCTCAAGATGGCATGCAGTCTGAATACCCCTTCCCCTAGTCTGCCTTCCCTTCTATCTCTGCACCCCTTCTCTTATCCCCTTCCCCTTCTATTTTCCTGTAGGGCAGGAGAGATTTCTATATCCCATTTCCTGTATTTCTTATTTCCCAGTTGCATGTGAAAACATTTTTTTTTAAACATGTGTTTTTAAAACTTTGGGTTCCAAATTTTCTCCCTTTCTCCTTCCCCACCAACCCTCACTGAAAAGGCAAGCAACTCAATATAGGTTATACATGTGCAGTTATGCAAAACACTTACATAGTAGACATACTGTGAAAAACTAACTCTATTTCCCTTAATCCTATCCTGCCCCCCTATTTATTCTATGCTTTCTTTTGACCCTGTCCCTCCTCAGAAGGAAACTTGTTTCTGATTACCCCCTTTCCCAATCTGCCCTCCTCTCTATCATCCCCTTACTATCTTGTCCCCTTCCTCCACTATTTTCCTATAGGGTAAGACAGATTTCCATTCCCAATTGAGTGTGTATGTTATTCCCTCCTTAAGTCAAATCCTATGAGAGTAATATTCACTCATTCCCTCTCACCTTCCCTTGATCCCCCTCCACTGGAAGAGCCTTTTCTTTTCTGGTTTTTTTTTTGTGAGATAATTTACCCTGTTTTATCTCTCCTTTTCTCCTTCTCCTAGTATAATCCTCTCTCACTGCTTAATTTTCTTCTCCAGATATGACCACTCCATCTTTAACTCTCTCTCTCTCTCTCTCTCTCTCTCTCTCTCTCTCTCTCTCTCTCTCTCTCTCTCTCTCTCTCTCTCTATCTATCTATATACATACATATAATTTTTCCCTCCAACTACCCTAATACTGATAAAGGTCTCATGAGTTACAAATATCATCTTCCCATGCAGGAATGTAAACACTTCAACCTTAATAAGTCTCTTATGCTTTCTCTTTCCTGTTTACCTTTTCATGTTCCACTTGAGTTTTGTATTTGAAAGTCAAATTTTCTATTCAGCTCCAGTCTTTTCCACAGGAGAGCTTGAAAGTTCTCCATTTCACTGAATGACCATTTTTTTTACCCTGAAGGATTATACTCAGTTTTGCTGGGTAGGTGATTCTTGGTTGTAATCCTATCTCCTTCGCCCTCCTGAATATTATATTCCATGCCCTGTGGTCCCTTAATGTAGAAGCTGCTAGATTTTGTGTTATCCTGATTGTCTTTCCACAATACTTGAATTCTTTCTTTCTGGTTGCTAGTAATATTTTCTTCTTGACCTGGGAACTCTGGGATTTGTCTATAATATTCCTGGGAGTTTTCTGTTGGGGATCTCTTTCAGGAGGAGATAAGTGGATTCTTTCAATTTCTATTTTGCCCTCTGGTTCTAAAATATCAGGGCAGTTTTCCTTGATAATTTCTTGAAAGATGATATCTAGGCTCTTTTTTTGATCATGGCTTTCAGATAGTCCAATAATTTTTAAATTCTCTCTCCTAGATCTATTTTCCAGGTCAGTTGTTTTTCTGATGAGATATTTCTCATCGTTATCTAATTTTTCATTCTTTTAGATTTGTTTTACAGTGTCTTGATTTCTCATGAAGTCACTAGCTTCCAATTACTCCATTCTAATTTTTAAGGAAGTATTTTCTTCAGTGGTCTTTTGGATTTCCTTTTCCCTTTGACCAATTTTGCTTTTTAGGGCATTCTTCTCCTCATTGGTTTTTTGGACCTCTTTTGCCATTTGGGTTAGGTTATTTTTTTTGTTTGTTTGTTTGTTTTTTTTTTTTTTAGGCAATTGTGGTTAAGTGACTTGCCCAGGGTCACACAGCTAGTATCAAGTGTTTGGTCTCAGGCCGGATTTGAAATCAGGTCCTCCTGACTTCAGGGCCAGTGTTCTATCCACTGTGCTATCTAACTGCCCCTAGGCTATTTTTAAGGTATTATTTTCTTTAGTATTTTCTTGGGTTTCCTTTAGCAAGTTGTTGACTTGTTTTTCATGATTTTCATGCATCACTCTCATTTCTTTTCCCAGTTTTTCCTCTACTTCTTTTACTTGCTTCTCAAAATCCCTTTTGAGCTCTTTCAAGGCCTGGGACTGATTCATATTTTTCTTGGAGGCTTTG